TAGTACGGTAATTTCCAACGCAGCACTAATTTCTCTCAGTGCAAAATATTTATATTACTGCACAAACTGAAAGTTGACCGATACATCTCTTTCAAAAGAAACCAATATTTAACCTAATTAGTGCAGTTCACCCAGAAACAGGTATTCGTCGTAGTACGGTGATAAAATAAGTCGATATTCACCGAAGCACCGAACAGTACCGCACCGTTTTCCGCTAAAACTGTTTTCTACCGATTCTATGCGACAAAATAGAAACAAGAATATACACCGCTTCGCGCGCGAACGTAGAGTGCCCAGTGTTTGGAAGTACTTCAAGTACATCGTACTTTACTCCTTGAAGTAGGTTTAGAAAACGTGTGCTTTACTTGAAGTAGGTATACATTCTCTGAGTATGTACTTGTACTTAGTATTAGCTTTCTGGTAGTTTCCGAAAGTGCAACCACCCGATTTCAAAGTACATTTCCCGAATTTGGTATTGGTTAAATTTGTATCACAAAATGATGCTTTGCAACTTTGACAAAATACTGACTCTGACGAACTTAAAAATATAATTATAAAAATGTATATTATTAAAAATGATAAAATAATTTTCAGCTTGCTCATATGTATTTGCTCCGTTTTTTTAATTAGAATGTTCTCATATTTGTGTGTATAATTCAGCGTATTTGAAAACACTGCTGCATATATACGAGTATAATTCCCAATCAATGTTGTGTTTCAGTTCACTCAGTGTTAATCTTTTGTTTTTAATCTTTATTTTCCCAAAGGAACTGTCTTGCTTTAAGTTTTTTGTAAAAGTGTCCAGTACACTTATGTCACCTGTTTACCTGTTGTTAGGGGCTGGGAACCAGTCAGGCTGCTTATACTGCTTGTTTATCCCAACTCCTGACATATGTATGAATAATGCACGTGGTGAATAGATATTATATTATACTCTGCTCTCACCAGAAACGCGAGCAGACGACGCATCGCTCCGTTTGTTCTGGGGCGCTTTCCCGTCGCTTTTCGAACTTTCGATACATCTCGCTCAGTCAGCGCAAGCGAGGGGGTTAAGGGTCCGTTCCACACTCTTGCAACCGAGTGCGACCGAGAGAGACCAAACCGGTTTTTAAGCCTCTTGCGATCTCTTAGGACCAGCTCCGCTCAGTGCATCCGGTCCCAAGAAGTCTTTCTCGGTCGTACTCGGTTGCAAGAGTGTGAACGCGCCTTTAAGAACATTAGGAGAGGCCAGTCATTCATATGGGCAGGGCCGTACCCAGAAAAAAATTTCGGGGGGGGGGGGGTTTCGGGGACAACGGCGGCCATTTTGAAAATGTCTATTGTCTTATTTTCGCCTATGAATCATGTGCATCGGTGGCATATAATGGAGAGTTAAGGCCCATTCACACTCTTGCGACTTCTTAAAACTTCTTAAACCAGAGAACACACTGGCGCCATCTATTGGGAAGTAGTGTAAACTCGGCGGTCCGGCATATTTTTTTTTTTTTATTTCTCGCGCAATATCCTTTCTTTTTTGGCTCGAAAAACTTTTGTCAATGTTATAAACGAGGGCCTTTCTATGGGTATTACGCACATTTGACCTCGGAAATCCCGCAAAACCTTCGCTTTTGTGAAATGCAGTTCTAGGGTCACCGCATAGGTGGCGCCACAATGTCAGTGTGTTCAGAGCCGTGTATTGGGAGAGTTTGGCCAATAGGCGGAGCAAAGCCGCCGCCAGCGCCGGATATTCCCCCCGCGCTTAGAGCGTAAACTAAATTTGTGACACAGCGTCGACCAATCAGGAGACCGCGACGTCACAATAGTGCAAACGACATTCAAAGCGTGCAATAGAGGCGTTCAATCTCGGCCTCTCTGCTCCATCTCACAAATGTCGGCAGTGAAGACAAAGGTAACAGGCGCGTGAACCTAGCTCAGCAAAACGCTTTTGTTTGTACGAGAACTCGTGCATAGGAGCCACTTTCCAAAGCCACGCGCTTGTGCCCATACCTTTCTCTGCACTGCTGATGTTGGGCTTGTTAGAACAGCGTCCTGTGACTGGCGGAAAGAAAACAGTGCAAAGGGTGGGGCGCGCGAGCGTCTGGAGACGCGGAGTCCCGCTCGGCTCGTGCGCTGGCTTTGGCAGTGCTTTCTTTTCACCCGTCTCAGCTGAGACGCTGTTAGGTACTACGAAAGGATAGCCAAAAAGGGAGAGGTGGCGTATGTCGACGCTGCCGGACTACCCGGACCGGGATGCAAAGGTAGCCGTATACCCTGGACAAAAACAAGATGGAGAAAAATAGCTGCTCGATGCCCAGGGCAACGACGGAAGAGGCCGAAGAGAGAGCCATAGCACTCGCCATGATGGACGGCTATAGGAAGGGCAGTAGCATGCTCATCCTGTCGGACTCTCAACAGGCCTGTCGAAATTTCTAAAAGGCAGGATTGGAGCGAGAACCGCCAAACTTATAAATAAGGTCACCCCGAAAAGTGCTGGAGTAACGCACGAAATCGCGTGGATTCCCGCTCACGCGGGCGTCACGGGTAACCAGGCAGCAGACGACCGAGCCCGTGCTCATACCTTCCGGGCCGGTCTGACGCAGCCGGGGAAAACCGTTATCGTGAACCCGAGCTACTCGGAGCTACTTGACCACTACAAGGCCTGCCGATTCCAGTTTCCGGAGCCCCGCGGACAGGTTCGACAGAATAGATGCCGCCCTATGGAGGAGACTCCAGGCGGGGCAACTTCCCGAACAAGGTGCTGGCCAGACACGTGGATCCGGACAGGTACGAAGACGACAGCTGCCCCTGGTGCGGCTCCCGAGCGACACTCTACCACTCCACGTGGGAATGTACGAATAACGACGAGCTTCCCAAGCTCCAAGACGAAGAAAAAGGCCAAGCCGGCTGGGAGAGGCTGCTGCGGAGCAGGGACCCCGGAGAGCAGCTTAGGCTGCTCGAAAGGGCCAAACTTGCTGGCCAGCTTCTAGGGATCCTGGAATGAGGAACCCTCCCCGCTAAGGCTCCACTTCCGTCATCATCAGCATCATCCCTCATGTTCCAATAAACGTTTTCCTCCTCCTCCTAGCAAGTTGGCCCTGGTTTGGAGGGCACGTTCGTTTATTCTACACTTGAATATTGGCGTGACGAACACCTCGCACGCACAAAGTTTTCAGTCACTGAGAGTCACACCTTTTAACTCTAGCGACGCTAAAACGGCTTGAATTAGTCGTGTCACAAATTTAGGGCTCACGACCACCGCTAGGGGCTGTTTCGCGGCCTGTGGTTGGCCTCGAGACGCTCGCCTATTCAAACCAATGTATGGCCAAACTCTCTCGATAAAACGGCTCTGAGTGTGTTCCCTCATTCTAGAAACATTTAAGAAGTTGTAAGAGATCTCGTCTCTCTCAGTCGTACTCGGTCGCAAGAGTGTGAACGGGCCTTTATAGCAAACCGGAGAACCGGTTTGGTACCCGGTAGCCGACCGGTGCCACTGTGCGTGCGCAGAGGTGGAGATTAAAATCGGCTGGCTGCAAGTGCACAGACCAGGGCCGTACCCAGAAAAAAATGGGGGGGGGGGGGGGGGGGGGGAGGGGGGGGGGGAATCAGAACCCCCTAACCCCCCCCCCCCCCCCCCCCCCCCTGGTTACGGCCCTGCATATGGGACTCCTGAGACTGATGCAGAACGATTAAGGAACTTTCAAAGTAGAAGAAAAAGACGGCAGAGGAAAACGTCTCAACTTCTTGTTTTTTCTTTCGACATGAAAGTTCCTTAACTTTTCCGCACCACCGTCTCGGGTATCACATTATGATTATCACCAGCTCGCCTGCACACTCACTGCTTTTCGTTAAAGGCCGACGGACCAACGTCGCTTTTCTGCACGGAAGATAATCCTCTTAGCAATCCTCTCTCCTAAGCGGCGAGGGGAGCCAAGTTGGGCAAGGTAAAAAGTGGAGAGGATATAGGAAAGGAGGAGGCGGCCAAAATTGGAAAGCGCGGAGTGTACGTACTCCTCTACGAGAGGATTGCTCGTGGAAGCTACGGGACTGACGTCGTGCTCTCTCAGTACGTTTTAGCCCTTGGGCGCAATAAACCAGTGCAACGGCGCTCCTGAATTTGGTGCTATTACTGAAAACGACTCTGTGGCCACTTGACTGAATAAGTGATGCCTCCCCCAATTACTTCTGGGGGAACGCATACCTGATAAATAAATATCACGTATAGGGAGATGAACGGGCACCAGGAAATATTGTTAAAAGCACTTGTACTTTATTTTGAAAGTATATTCTACTTATAGTACTTTACTTCAAGTACATTGCACTCAGTGCACTTACTACTTGAAGTACAATTTTCATTTACTTGGTACTTTACTTACAGTACCTTTTAGATGTACTTGACCCAACACTGGGAGAGCCATGCTTCTATCCCCGCTTTTTTTCTTTTTAAATAATTGTATTGCATTAATCATTTAACCTAGAGCGATAAAATTTTATCCCGACTTGGCTAATGAAACAGACAAATAAGAGATAAGCTTGGTACAGTAACTTTTCCAAATTCAACTGCATGCCCCCCCCTTCCCCCCCCCCCCCCCAAAAAAAAAACAAACAAAAGAAACGCAGAATTTTATATTTTAACTTACAGACAATAACTGCTTTTTTTTTTTCGTCAGTGTGTTTTCAATCATTGTAGCAGATGTTCTTTGAAGTAAAGCGGACAAGTATTGGCACATGTCGGCAAAGAATCCAATTAATCTCATTGCAAGATTCGAACACAGACGGCACTAAACTCAAAAGGTATTGTTTGGCCCCGCCTTACCCTAATAGGAAACTACCGAAATTTACTATGCCTGTACCAAGCTAAATAAAAGAACTTTTAAACACCTTCAAGCAATTTGTGTAGCTATACCCGGCCTTGCCCCACACCGACCTGTACTATTGCTGCACATATTGGTTACAAGTCGTGTAGAAACTCTAAGCGAGAAGCCCTTGCAAAGAATTAAATAAATTCAAGAAATTCTAATAAATGAGATCAGCACAAACACCCTTTATTGACTTACTGGCATTATTACTGTAGGAGGCAAACAAAATGCACACAAAAGGTTTGGCACAGTTTAGCATATTTAAACATATCACTCAAACATCATGACAAAAAGACAGTAAAATATCACTTTTCCCATCTTGTTAAGGATGATATAAAGACAAAGAAATCCAAGTCCCAACAAAATTGTTATAAAAGCAAATGACAATAAAGCGTTTCATAGTATTCATACCTCTCCTGGGCAAACGCAAGAAACATTTCAGAACACAACTCTGCTCCAGTTGCAATGGAACAAGTAGCAAGGCCAACATATCACATTTTGAAGCTAAGGAACAAGGCTACTCAGCATATTGCTAGCTCTGCAATGCTTTTGCATGCAACGTTCACCACCAACTTTCTACTTTCAAATGTTAATTGTAAGGTACAAGGTGCAACTATTGCTCTCTCCGTTTCAGTCACATGGGGCTGTCTACACTGAGCAGTGAACACACACTGTCAAGCCTGAGAAGCAAATGTAGAGCATCACTTATTGGTCAAGTCAGCCTGCACTTACTTCAGGTGGGTTACGGAGCCAAGCTTACCAGAAACACTACTTCATGTTTAGTCAACAAGTTAGTCACAAATGGTGCACAAAACATGGTCCAAAAGCAAATGCACCTGCAGTTAGATTGGGATAACTGACACCTTGCCTGCTCAGAAGAAATATAACTCTAGGATAGGTACTACAACACACACAGGCATTAAAATACCACCACAGCACAAAACTTGTAGTGGAAGCCAGGATACAACACTTACATAGGAGTACAAACACCAAGCACGGCAAAAGGACAAACATGCAGTGCAAAGAATGACGTTATCACAAGAGTAACTGCCTAAAATGTTCAACTCAATCAACATGTTCAATCTGCAACATCCAAAATCATTCTGTATTTTTGAGTCTCAATGCACTGCTGCACTTTTAATCACCAGTATGCAATACCCAATCAATGCAGCAGATGAGCACCAGCTGAATGCTGATGATTGTCTGCCAGGGTAGCAGTTAATAAAAGAGCACATGTGTAGCACACATCACATACAAACTAAACTTGGAGGTGTCGATACATTTTAATAACGGGACTAGAAACCAACCTGTAGATGGAGAATATAAAGTAATGCTGGAGCTCATATATACCTTCAAATTAACCAGGAATCAATATGAAACAACCTCAAATGGTTATGATGTATTTTTATCTTCATATATCCATCCATTTTGCAATGATGCTTTTATGAAAAATGCTTGTTAGCTCAAAAATTAAGTATTTAATTCTATAGCCCAGCAAAGCCCCATGCTAAAAAGTGTATCACTTTGAATGGGCAACCAAAAATTAAACAAATTACTCATGACCATTACACAAAATTAAACTACACCAATTTTGAAAATATCAAATAAATGGTGCTGAAAGCACCTAATATTGCTTTTATTTTTCAAGAGACCAAGGTAAACTGCTAGAGTATTCACAGGTTAGAAAAGAACTGCTTTTAGGCAACATTAATACCAAAGTAAACAAATTATGAAGATAAAATCTGTAATTTACACTAGTAAGCTTCACCAATGACATTGCATATAGTATCTGCTTAGGATACATGAAAGAAAGTTGAGGCCAAAAGAAACCCAGTTGTCTCTAGTAAACTGGCGATGAAGAATATGCAAGTTTCTCGAGAGTTGCCATTCTTAGCAGACATTCAGTGTCTAAGGATGAAACCTCAGAAGATATCTGCATCACAGATTCCTATGTAACCAAAATGCTATATGGTCACATCTGCCAAACAAGGTTGCCAGAATAAGGTTTGAGATCAAAAATCAGAACAAAATTCAAATCTCCTTCACAATCGGCAGTTGGCATTCCAAGCAGCTTCTGACTGCTCGTTTCACCATACAAGGTGCACATCAAAGGCAAGCTGTCTTATCTAGATCAAACTGAACCGGCAGCCAGGACAATAGAACACCCCTCAGCACTAAGTACAAAGCATGCATCACGGCACAATGGGGAAATGTTTGAAGCATGCTATCGAGAGTAAATAGGAGCATGATGCATGGAGATCCCATATGTTCATCTGATGGCACAAGTGACTCACAAGTATGTATTTGGGGACAAAGCAAGAACCAAAATATGCTGAAATGTTTGTGCATAAACCTAGACACTAAACAGTAAAATGAGTTTCCCAGTGCGATGCAAAACTGCACCTAAAAATGACGTAGAACATGAATAGTTGTGATTTTACACCTCCCAAAATGCTGCAAAAATTGAACTACTGAAAGCTGCAGTTGTATAGTATGCACTTCTGCAGACAGTACACCAGACACATATAGAATATTCCATATACAATGTATATATGCTCGTTTAAAACTACCAAAATAAGTCTGGTAGCTCATAAAGCATGCAATTACAAATTTGTGTAAATGCAAAAAAAATCTAGTATGCAATGTACCATTATATTACCGAAACTACAGTCAGCGCACGAGCGAGCTGGTGGAAGCTTACTATGATAATTTTAACCCGAGACTGTGGCAGAAGAGGAAAGTTTTTTTACAGTGGAGGAGAAAATAACAGGGACAAAAAACATCTCAACTCGGCTGATAATTTTATTCAACCACCTGTCTACAAGCAGTCTAGAAAGCTTTTCGTCTAAAGTGAAAGGTTGCTGTACTTTGTAGGTTGTTTTAGATATTTGTTTTGTGATGTGGGTAAGGATTCTGCACACTTTGAAAAACAGGATGTTCGGTAGCTCTGTAGCAGTTGTGGTTCTGTATATAAGGAGGGTGGTTGAGTAAAATTATTAGCCGAGTTAGAGACAATGTCTGTCCTTGTTACTTTCTTTTCCACTGTAAAATATTTTTCCTCTTCTGCCTGAGCCTCAGGTTAAAATCACCATGGCAAACCATATTAATAGTGCTTGATCATACCATGCACCACTAAGCCAAATTTACATCGAAACATGAGGGAAAAATGTTCTGGCATAGCAGCTTGCCTCATTTTTTAAAGTCTAAGGTTGGCTTTAGGTGAACAGACACGACACAGTTGACGTGTAATCATCAATTTTTCCCACAGCTAAAACGCTTTCATTGAAACCACCAGCGTGGCAGGCCGTATTCACAGTGGCATCAATTTGCACGGTGAAATTTAGTAACGGATGCTAACTTGAAGAATAAATAGACCGATCTCAGTAAGCGTTCCACGCATGCATGAATGAGGCCGCCTTAACTGTAGTCCACAAGAGGCAGGTGCCAGTGCACAAGACAGCTCGCGCCGTCGTCTTCTGCTAGCGCAGACTCGCAGCGCGGTTGTCACGTGCGCAGGCTTGTTCCCACGACACACGGCGACAGCGGCGGCATAACAAAACTGGCTGGTGGAACCGGTCTATTGCAACAAAGTGCCGGCCTCATGTTCAGATTAACTGTGTCGATCTCTGTATACATCTACATCAGTTTGAATATTTGTCAGAGGTATGCATAAAAGCATGTGTCCAATGGTTTTAGATTTACACTTCCATCTAAAAATAAGGCAATGCTTTTTTGTTAATATGCAAACCTTAACTTCCAAGGAAATTTTGTTTACTTTGCCCTGCCCTAAGAACAAACCATTTTGATTTTAGTCGAACAGATTAGCGACACTGCGCTCCGTGTAAAGAGATATAGCGATGTAAGCAACCCAAAGTAAATGCAGCTAAAACAAGAAAGTGCTTGACAAGCTACTGATTACTGAAGCAAGCTAGAATCAATGCTATTAGCTAGCCCTAGCAGGCAGAATGTACAACTTTAGCCACCAGCCACCAATAGCACAGAAAGCGGGGTGTTTATCATACAGTTAACCCTCGATTTAACAAAACCCGATTTTACGAATTTCCTAATTTAACGAACAAATTCAGATTCCTCGCGCAGCCTATGCCCGCAAAAGGATTTCCTCGATTTTACGAAGTTCCCGATTTATTGAAATAATTAGCGGGTCCCGGGGACTTTGTTAAATCGAGGTTCATCAGATGTCGCATAATTTAACACTGCAGCAGGACTATCACACTACATAGAAGAGAACTTGGCTAAGGAGAAATGAGAAATGCTGTGTTGCACCACATGTGCCTCTTGAAACACAAAAACCGACTAAATATTACTAGGAAATGTAACTAAACTACTATGTACAATATCGTGGCTTCATTCTGGAAATACGTATATGCTAGTGGATTTGTGTCACTCATACGAGAAAAGGTATCTAGCACATTCGTGCACACTATACCAGCATGCAATCTAAATGGGATGCACAGTCTCCAGACTGCTCACGACTCCACTTCTTTTTCTGTGTACAATCGTAAAATAGAGCATAAATCTAATGCTATTCAATTCTCACAATCAGTACAGAATGGATGTTTCAAAATTTGACTTTCCATGTAGTTGCTCTCTCACTAAGCAAATTTAAATTTTTTCACCGGTCTTGAAAGTGCCTATTGTCTATTAAACTGTTTTTGAGACATGGCTGAAGCAAACCGTGAATTGGAATTTAAATTCTTAATTTTCTCCCTCATTTAAAACAAACACGTTAGAATGCTAAGAAAAAATACCCCAGCTCACAGTGCTTCTGCTGAAGAGTGGATACGTGTTCGTTGTAGCTGCTCTAGTGTCTTTAAACTACCTACATACACAAACCAAAGACGTGACGCACGAGGAGCCAAAACCCATAAAAATCGCATGCTGGCAACTTTTACTGTAGAGCAACAGCAGCAAATACCCTCAGTTTTTGGTTTTATAATTACTCTCACATAATAGTTTGAGGATTGTGCGACCTTCACAATCGTATGATAGAGCCACAAAGCTCCTGAACATCTTCTGACAATTTTCTTCTTTCTGAAAAGAGAGACCAGATCCAACCACAGCACACCTCGGGAGTAGCCACGTCATTTGCCTATAAAACACTAGAACTGAAGCAACCCCACAGCCCTTCTTAAAAAGCTGAGTACATACAGAATGAGATGCTCATCTTCAGTGAGCATTTTTAAGTGAACATCATCCCTCCATATCACGGCTGAGACTCGCGTGACTGCTGCTGAATATCTTGCTGCTGCTGCTGGATCTCCTGCTGCTGTTGATCCTGTTGTTGCTGCTGAATATCTTGCTGCTGCTGCTGCTGAATTTCTTGCTGCTGCAACTCTTGCTGGTGTCGCTGGATGTCTTGTTGCTGATGTGCCGGCTGGAGGTGGCTGGATGTCTGCAGATGAAGCGGCTGCTGGTGAGCCGGAAGCTGCTGCTGAGCAGAGTAGCTGTCATAGTAGGCATGGCAGTTGCAGGCCGCGGCACAGTTGGCAGCCACCTCAGACACCCGGGCCACTGTGGGTGGCCGGCCCCGGCCCTTGTGTGGAGCAGGGCTCATCAGGTTCTGTGCAGGGATCGGAGCCTGGGTCAGGTCCTGAAACCAGAGGTTTATCCAGACACTCCGCAATCAGTCAAAGGGACCTGGATAAGGACGCTCGGATTTTCGCGCCAGTTCTGAGGCTTATATACAGAAAGATTCAAGCTAAAACACTGATTCACATTACATAGCTCTCCTGGTTCTGGTTCCTGAGCTGCTATGCTTCAGTCTTTAGCATTGGGTAACTTTATCTCATTCAGGCCTGTTTAGCAGCTTTTTCTTTTTTCAATTAATTTGTAACATAGCCTTGATGTGTCCGTCCTAGTGAAGATGCCTGCTAGGTAGATTTCTGCAGAGCTGATAATATATACCTTCCAACGGTGTGCTAGCATAGATGGAAGCCATTTCCTGATCATGATGGCAGCTCAGCTTGGATTCTGATCCAGCTGGATCACCAGTGAAGAGAGAAATTCAGGCACACCTAAATGTCACAGTGCTCTTAAAGTCAACCAATGGCTATTTCCAGGGGCAATTTATATGCCTTGCACAGTTTGCAACATTGTGACTTTGCTGCTATACTGCAAAACAGAACTGCACTCAAAGTAATGAAGGGTTCCCCAAGATCTGAAAGTTTGAGAACCCCTGCATAGCTAAAGCCACATTCACAATTCTTTTCTATCATGAGACAAATTGACTAATCTCGCTTTCCAAGAATGCACATAAATATGGCATGCAAGTTTGTCTGCCTTTTGCACACCTCATGCATTTGTTTACCCTCAGCTGTGTGCACCTGCTTTTGTTTCCCGACTACTCCAACCAATGACGATGCGCGCTTGCCTACCTCGTCATCATGCATTCTCTGCAAATTTTCTATATTGCCTTTTGATTGGCATGCCCATCACTGCGTTCCAATGCGCCAAAGACGCTTTTTAGAACACTTGCTCTCTGTATGGTTCCAATGCCCTCAGTTGACTGCTGCATACCTGGACACTCAAGCTAATTGCAGAAGCAGCATCAAACCCCTTTTTCAAAAGTTAAATTTTACACATGGCTCGTTATAGCAGATAGCTCTCCATAGTCCGAACTCACTGACGACTTCACCGTTGCCCTGCTAGGAAGTATCCGGAGAATTCCTACAGAAAATTCCATTGAGTGCCACTGCCCTCGAGCCAAGTCTCCTGCAGTTCCAGTCTAGCTGCCAGGCGTTATAAATTTCTTTTCTGAGAACTGGTTTAAAATCTTCAAGGCAGCCCAATAAGTGTTTCCAGAGCATCCTCAACATAGACTAATAGCCGATCCGCCTTTTCATTACCTAAAATTCCCACATCGCTTGGTACCTAGCACAGCTTGATATTGTAACGCATTTGGACAGCTAGGTTTAACTCTACACATACTTGTTGCATAAGCCAGTTCTTAGAATCATTTCAGGAAACAGAGACAGATGATAGCACTCTGGGAGTCCACAAACAAAATAGATTTCCTGATATTGTTGCCAAATATATATTCCATAGCCATGAGCACACCATAAAGCTCTGCAGTAAAAATGCTGGGAACAGAGAAAGCCGTCTAGTGTTCACAAAGTGCACTGAATATGCAGCCAAACCAACAAAGTGTGGAGTTTATGCACCATCAGTGAAGAACTGTGCATAGTCCTTATACTTAGCTTGCAAGGTCATAAACTCTTGCTGAAGAACTAGTGGCACAACAGATCGCTTTTTGTATTTGGCCAGTGACCAGTCACAGGTATAGTGCACTGCCTTCCAAGGAGCAACGTTTCAAGCTCTCGTCATCAAGCTACGTTCAGGAAGTTCAAGCTGCAGGGATGCAGACATGCTTTCAATGTGGAGGCTTAAAAGCCGTACTATACTTGGCTTGTTCTTAAAAAGACAAAAAAAAGGAGAAGCCTGCAAACAGCGGAAGGATGCATGTTCAGGGTCAGATTTTACTAACTATAGCATAGGCTGAGGAACTATCTTAGTTTTTCTAGTGGCATTTGGTACGTCTCTGCATACAAACTCAGGGCAGGCGACGTTCGGAAGGCACCCGTGGCAAGTCGAAACCCATGGTGATGGACAGGATCTAGCATTTTTAAATATAACAGTCATGCCGAGCCATATACAACCGCACCATAGTCGAGACGGAAATGAACCAGCGAGTTGTAGAGTCGCAGGAGCCACCTCCTGTCAGAACCCCAGGACATGCGCGTGCAAGTACCTTGAGATCATTAACAGATTTAAAACGCTTTCACTTCAGTTCCTTCAGATGGGTCTGAAAAGTAAGCTTCTTATCAAAAATAACCCCCAAGAACTTGTGTTCATGCCTAACAGTTATGTCAGTGTTATTCAACAGCAAGCTGGGATCTAGTGACGTCCCACGACAGAGTCAAAAAGGCAGACACACAGTTTTTTCTGGTACAAACCGGAAACCATCTTGATCAGCCCCATTACTCCTCCTATTTACTGCCAGCTGCAATTGGCACTCACAGATTAACAAGATGCATGAGGAGAAAGCGATCTGGACATTGTCTACATACAATTAATAAAAAACCGATGCTGGTATCACTGCAGCGAGGCTGTTACCTTTATCGCATACAAGGTAACACCCAAAACGCCTCCCTGTGCAACAACATTTTCCTGTGTAAAAACATCCGAGAGCGTGGATCCCAAGCGGACCTAAAAAATAGGTCCGTCAAGAAGTCCCTTATAAAACGCAGCATGCGACCACGCACACCGCACCTCTACAGGTCCTGAAGTATTCCGTACCGTCATGTTGTATCGTATGCCTTCTGTAAATCAAAAAAGACAGAAATGCAATGCTGCCAGTTCACAAAAGCCTCATGCATGAAAGTCTCCAACTGGACAAGGTTATCTAGGGTCGAGTGACCACGTTCTTGAAGTGGTCACTCGACCCTAGAACCAGTTTTGTATCAAAAATTTTCTTTGTGCTCTAGAACGTATACAGTTGAACCTCTTTCCAACGAACACTGATACAGCGTGTTACCGGATATAGCAAACTAATCACAAAGTTTGGTTGATCAGGCTTTATTTGGATGGGAGTCCTAGTTATATAGCGAAACCGAAACATCTGATGTGCTATCGGTTATAGCAAAGCGATTCCTGCTTTTCTTGCGTCACAAAATACCATCAAAGAAGTAATTTCAAAACGAAAAATTCTGAAACTTTTTAGATTACTCAATGTGCGAAAATGCATGTTTCGGGAGGTAGCGCCACCTCTGAACTGAGTGGATAATGGCGGGGGCGCCACTGCTAGCCTTTCTGCCAGGCATCATGAATCAGTGCCGACTAAAGCCAATGGCGACGAAGTGGAAAGTCGTCTCTCTGGAGAAAAACATGAAGGTTGTAAGGGCGGTGCACAGCGGTCGAAAGAAAAAAAAAAGACATCCCTGCGGACTTTGAGCTTGCACCAAGCACAATATCTAGCATCCTAAGTACAAGGAAGAAGATCGAAGTCTGCTATGCAAAACAACACCGTCAAGATTGACCGAAAGAGTCTTAGGCCTTGCCTCGACCCGGATGCGGAGGAGGCTCTGTTCTCATGGTTTAACCCATTGGCTACCACTTGCGTCCCACGCTGCCGGGCAGTCCGTGCTGTATGTTTTGTTGTATAATAAGCTCTTACGGTAAAACTCAGTACAGAAAACAAGAAAACATGTTTATTTACATGCTTAAGTGGTTCGTTCAAGCCTAAAAATCACTGGGCCCTCACAGATTCTTCCTCGTTTGAAAAAACAATCTTGAAAAACTCCATCCTCAGTCGCTTAGACATCGCACAACCAGTGCTATCTTGTCGTGATTCGGACTCAGAACTGCTGTCGGAATCGCTCCCGTCGTTGACAGAAGGCTCCGAAAACTCACTATCCTCACCAGACGTCCCGTCATCACCGCTGTCGAAAAAGATATCCATGATTTCATCGTCAGAAAGTCCTCACTATACACTGGACGCTGCCGTCTCCTCCAAACAGGCAGCGGTTGAGCGGGCAAGACAACACAGAAAAGAACAAGATCAAACAAGGTGAACAGAACGACTCTCACCATCTGTTGGCAATGTATCTAACTACATTCACTACCCCAAATCTACTTAGCGTGTCATCTATGAATGGCTCTTTAAAACAGAGATTCATGCAGCCCGGCGAATCGCCGGCTTTGGCAATATGGCCCCTGATGCCACACCCGCTGATTCGCCGGCTTTGGTAGCGAATGGGTTAATAACGTAAGGGCGCGAAGTCTGCCAGTGTCTCGTCAGCTTCTTCAAACGAAATCAATCAGTCTGGTGTGTCTGTTAGAGCATGATGATTTCAGAGCGAGCAGCAATTGGCTTCAGCGCAGTGGCTCCAGGTGATGAGGCCACCAACCCAAAATCCCGTCTTTCTTCAAATAAATGAAATAACGGATCCTGCTAACGTCGTTTCTCGTGTTGCAAATTGATATCCTCATGTTCCGATCTATTTTTTTAATGCTACTTAGTGACAGGTAAGGATCTCGTGGTCCGCGATAGCTTGTCCAGGTGAAGAGGAACCAGCCCGAAATTGCGTCTACCTTCAAATAAATGAAATAATGGATCCAGCTAACGTCGGTTCTTGTGTTGCAAATTGATATCATCATGTTACGATCTATTTTTTCAATGCTGTTTAGTGATAGGTAAGGATCTCGTGGTCCGCGATAATTAGTTTTTATATCTTAGTGCTGTGCGCGTTCTTGCACGAGCTCGATTGCAGGAATGTTCGCAACAATTTTTTGTGTGTACATACTTTTATAACGAATATTGCATATAGCGAACAAAATTTCTGCTGCGATGCTAGTTTGTTATAACGAGGTCCAACTGTACTAGCCTTTTGTTTACGAGCCTTTCATAAGTTTTTCCTATACAACTAGTCAGTGCAATAGGCCAATAACTTTCTGGTAGGGAAGAGTCTTTGCCAAACTTCACGATGGGAATGATGTGGACTCGCTTCCAGCACTGTGGAAAGCAAGAAGCTTCCCACAAATGACTAAAGAAAGACAACAAAAGTACCAAGGATTCAACCGACAAGTGCCTCA